CGAGACATGTCAAATTCAAATATCGATAAATACGACCAAATTTATACTTCTATGTGTGTTATTTGAAACGTTTATCAATTTTAAAATTTGTCACGCATCCCATCATTAGCATTGGTTGGAGCATGAATGAAGTTGTTTCTTCCTTGATCATTTTGTAAAATAAAACAATAAGATCTTCGTTTTTCTTGACGCTCAACGTTGATGTTATCACAATCTTTCTGATAAACATCTTCTTACATTGAAAGAGAGTATATTGATAGTTTTTTCTCATTTCCATGAAAACTAAGAGTGAATTACAAGAAATTCTAAATTGATCATCGGAGTAAATCAACCTCTATCTCATCTCACTAGTCGACATTTATTTTTACTTATTTAGACGAGAAACAAGGAAGAAAAATAAACAAGTTCAATTTATCCCACTCGATACTATTAAAATTTTCTTTTTGCTACTTGTACATAAAAATAGCATATAAGCGGTGATCGAAAATGATGTGAAGGAAAAAAATTGAATGAAAAAATTGACTTTGTTTTAAATTTACAAATGGTAGAGTGTCATGTAGACATTATGATATATCTTATGTAAATCTTGATATATATATGTAGTAAGGTCTTTAAAAAATTTGCTCAATAATTTCAGATGTCACTCGAGCTCCATTCCATTTTATGACAATGATTGTTAAAGAGTTTTATCTCCATCCAGAAATAAGCTTCAACAGAATGGTCGTGCCACGTGTCGTGCGATTGCCCTATCAAGTTGAGCCACCTCAACGGGTGGCTCCCCACACACCCAAGGTGTGTGGATCACTTGCCAAGGTGACGTCTCGGTGTGGTGCGTCCGTCCCCACTTAAGATTCTTTCCTTCATCCAACATTGTACACGCATAAATAAAGAGAAATTTGTGGATCCCAAATTACTTTTTGACTCATCAGATGTTGTCATGTACAAGACAGTCACCCATACCCCCCATACCGTACGCTTAACACAGGATCGCTGCATTTGCCTCCCAAAATCTAAGCACGCCCCATGTTTTCAAAATATTGCTAGCAATTTTATTGAAAATCAGACAATTCCAGCAACTTTGATGGGAAATATTAAGCCCCGTTTGGCCTTTTTAAATTTTATTACATTAAATTTCATTTTCTCTTTCTTATTTTCAACAACGCAATTTTTTATAAAATAATATTATACGTAAATCGAAAAATTTTCTTTCTATTACAACCATTCATTTTTAAAAAACAAAATATTATTCCACCCATTTTCATTTCTAGAAAATGGGGGCCAAATAGGGGCTAATAATTGATCTAAAAGCTAATATAATTAAAATCTGAAAATCGAGATGAAATTCCAATCTTATTTTTGCTTGCGTTTCTTTAAAATAAAAGAGAATAAATTCTCATGAAGCACGAAAAAAAGTCTAATTTTTTCGACGAAATAATCTTGATTTGACGATATTAACGTGTATCATGCTTGTTACCTATTGAATGCAATTTTATATTTTTATATTGATTAAACTTAAGATGGATATGTAACAGCTAAGTGCTCAAAACCATTTTAAAAAAAAAAAAATCAAATTCAACAACTCATCATAACATGACTGTACTACATATATGCAGCATCATCAATCAATCAATTCAGCCTCCCTGTAGGTCCCCTTATGTTTTACATTTTCCTTCAAAAAAAATAAAAAATAAAATAAATTCCTCTCCCTGGGTTTACATTGAGAAGACTAAAAAGACTAAAGACCATCTCAATTTATCTTCTCCAATAAATTTGCGTAAATAATTTAATTCAAATTTAACATTTTAAAGTCGATATTTACAGTCTTATTTGTTTACAAAACTCAATCACAAATTAATTTCTATGGGGCAATGTAACGATATCAACCAATTTCCAAATTCATTAAAGATTTATATGTTAGTTCGTGAAACAGGAATGATGTCGTGCTTCACAATTTGAAAGTTGTAAATCTTTCAATTTATAAAGATGATTTCAACGATTCAAAAATGGATTAATTAAGCATAGATATTATTGTTTGTATGACAATTAGGTCTTCAATTTTCTTACTTTAAACTTAATTTTATCAATAATTTATTGCTACAATTGTTAAGTAAAAACAAAGTCCACTTTTCTACTTGAAAAAACCTTACTCTTAGCCCCCGTTTGCTCCCATTTTGTGAAATGAAAATGGGTGGAATAATAATTTTTTTGAAAAATGAGTGTTTGAAAAAGAAGAATTCGATTTACGTGTAATATTATTTTATGAAAAATTGTGTGGTTAAAAATGAAAGAGATAAAAATGAAATGTAATGAAATGAAAATTAATGGGGGTCAAACGAATATTTAAAGTACATGTTAGATACTCTCTACATTAAGAAAATTATCCTACTAAAATTTGTATTCAACATGCCACTTTACGTGATTATTAGAAACTTCCATAAATAAATGAATCTGAAAACTTGAACTTGAAATAATTATCCACCTTACTACCTTATAAAATCACAATTTTAAGTCTTACAAGGAAAAACATATATTTATTTAAAAATTTAGTCCCTGTTTAGTGGGAATTAAAATCATCGTTTAATAGATTTTGATAACTTTTGATGTAATGTGTGATTAAAATTTTTTGAATTCCATCAAATATATTATTGAATTTAATTATTAAATTTAGTTTGGATTAAAATGTAGGATGTATTATCAAAGTGCTAGCCTCGATGGACCACGACAAGATAATGAGCAAATACCTCATGCTCCTATCTTGTGAAATTTTCATTATTTGGTCAAGTCTAAAAGAGTAACTTTTAAGATTAACTCTTAACTTTATTTTATTATCAAAATAAACTACTTATTTATTTTTAACTTTTATCAATAAATAAGTACTGGAACTCACTACTCGAAAAACATGTAACGACATATTCTTTTATTTAATTGTAACAATTATTAATTGGTTTACTTTCTTAATTTTTGAAAATTTTAGGATCAAATACACCAATAAACTCTATTTCACGTGCACATTCAAATGCATATCATAATTTATTTGCAATTTGGTTTTTTAAAATTTTTAAATTATTTTCCATACTATTTATCTTGTATATAAACGTGATGTTAAGACTTGAAGTTCCATCTTAAAAAGGTTAACCTTATTAAGATGAGTAGTCCAAATCTTTTTAAGTTGATTAATATTTCGGTATTTAACCGATGTGAAATTTTTATCCCTTAACATGCCCATGCAAGATGGTGACTCGTTTGAGCAGACTCATTTTGAAATTCATGTACTTATTTCTAGAATCTTAATCGGATCGAATTGCTCATACCATGTTAAGACTTGGTGTTCTATCTTAAAATGTCAACCTTATTAAAAGGAGTAACCCAAAATCTTTTTTAGTTGGTCAATATTTCAGTATTTAACCGATGTGTGATTTTTATCCCTTAACACGTGATGACGTTAAAGAGAAAAATATTGTGAAAGTTAATTTTAATTTTTCTATAATCTTTATGATTCAATTATCGTTGGAGACTATAAGAAATGGAAGTCCAATAAAAGATTGGATTTTCTTAAATTAATTCAAAAATTGTAGAGGGATGATTATTTTGCTAGAATATGGAAACACTCAACAACTCGATAGAACTGAAACAAGGTAAACTTTAGTTTTTTTATTTTTATTTTTTTGGGTTTAGTAATTCCGTTGACACGGTAAAAAATAATTGTAATTTCAAAAACTTTGAGACGTCTTATTATTTTTTCTATAAATAGTGGATTATTTATCCATGATATAAATGGAAGTGTGTAAATTTTTTTCCGTTAAAGAATTATAATGTTGTATCTGACGTCAATTGTTGTATTTAAATTTGCTATCATCGCAAGCTTTAAACTATTCTGTTAAAATCTTTCCAGAGTATTCAGTGCAAACTTTGGTTTAAAATGTAATTTTTTCAGCGATGCCATATTTTTTTCTTTCTTTCTTTCTTTCTTTTTTTAAATACCACTCAATATGTTACAATTCATTAATAATTTATAAATATAGTACCATCTTGTAAAAGAATAAAATAATTATCGCGTCTTGAAATGTGAAGAACAATGTTAAAACTCAAAAACTACTTTTCATGCAATTTAGTTGTACTTACGTTCAAATAGAATTCCGATATGTCGCTCTTGAACATTGGTCAGTTTGGGACACAACCTGCTGTTTAACTTGTCTATAGCTTGAGGGGCTAAGGTGTAGACTCTAGGATTTAGTCACCATAAGGTGGATACTTGGATATAAAAAAAAAAAAAAAGAAGGAATTCCGATATGTCACCTGCTAGTTTAATATTATGGAATTCGAACACCACTAAGAACATAATTGTAAATTTAGTTGTTGGGTTTTATTCACGTAAACATAAATTTTCAAAATTTCCAATTCAATTCTCCTTTTAACGTATATACTCTTCATTTGACACATGATGAAAACGTGAATAATAATAGAAAGTCTTATCCGTAACACACGAATGAGTATTACTCGAGTGTTCTAACAAATGCGAGAAATGCTGGACCCCACCAGATAAACGAAAAAACTAAATTATTATTAATAAAAATGGCTGTATGGTTACACATGTAAAGAGTCAAAACGAATCCTAATAAAAGCATAACTCTAAATCGATAGATGAATTTGAATGGAACTTAAAAACTTGCGTAAATCTAATGGATTATTCTGCAAGTATAGATTTTTTTACAATATTTTATACAGGAAGACAACTATCTCTCTGTGTTTGCTGTTGCCAAAAACTGTCTTTGATAATAGTCAATTTCTATGAAACAGTTATATTTCTTGTATAAAATTTGTACTTGTTGCATTTCTAAAATCTGATACCCAAAGTGTAAATTATGTGTATTTTCATAAATTATTCTTATTTCTCCTTTTTCAATTGATTCATAATTTTCTTTTCTAACTTCTCGGTGTGATTATATTTCCCCATATAAACTTGACACACATTTTTTTTTTTACTATTTGCACACATTCTCTATGCCTCCTCTCTCTCCTCTTTTAATGTAGGTGTCTGTTTGACTTGGACTCACTCCCACGCTTCATCAATAATACCATCACACTTTTCTTTCTCATCCATATCGTCCTCTACAGACCACCTTAATCACACTCCACACATCTATTGACTGAACTCGCTACTTTTCACAGTCGGCGATGGGCCAATTGTGCCGCCGCCGCCTTAAATTTACACNACTCCACACATCTATTGACTGAACTCGCTACTTTTCACAGTCGGCGATGGGCCAATTGTGCCGCCGCCGCCTTAAATTTACACTCTCTTCCACCACCATGGCAGCCTTAGCTTTCCTTCTAATTACTTCAGTTTCAGCACTTAGCCTTAACCCAACTCGCCAATTCAGTAAGTACAAATACAAAATATATCATATTTGATTACAAAACAAAATTTATTAACCTGTTTTGGTGTTCTTGTTTGTGAGCAGCTGTTGGGGTGAGGAAGGAGGTGATTGTGGAAGAAGGAGGACTGACTCGGCGGAGACTCGGCGGGCCAGGATCATGGCCACCCACTTGCAGATCCAAGTGTGGGAGATGCTCGCCGTGTAAACCAGTGCACGTGCCGATTCAACCCAGTCTGAGTATCCCATTGGAGTACTATCCAGAGGCTTGGCGTTGCAAGTGTGGCAACAACCTGTTCATGCCTTAGCAGCATTAAATGGACAGTTTTTGGTACTGCAACCGCTCTGAGATGAAGAGAAGATATTCTTGTGATTATCAAATTAGGGTGCTGGATAGTCAGAAGAACGTAAATTTTTGAACTGATTAATTATTAATGGTCTGGTCTGTCTTAGAAATTACAAAGTTTTTAGTATTTAGTTTGCTTGTTTAGTACTGAATTCTTCTTGGTTTTCATGTAGAAGACAGATCAACATTGGGATTGTAATATATTAGGTTTCTTGATATTTATTTTCCTTAAATTCGTGATTTTTTTTGGGGGACAGAACAGAATAATAATAATAACACTTTTAACTAAAATTTATTGAGGAGCGATGTGTATTTTTGAAAGTGACAAATCCGTGACAAAGATATCTTGAAAGGGTCGAAATTATAAAATAATTTCAATTACTCAGTAAAAATTAAATGTTACATTGTTTTTAAAAAAAAAAAAAAGTTGAACTCTAACCTTGAAGGCTCCCACCGTCCCTCCCTAGAGTTTTGTGAGGAAGGTAAATCGCGGGATGTGTCCCAACAGGCCAAGGAACAGGAACTGTTTGTATACTGCGTCTATAAGGAGTCCAATTTCATATATCAGAAATTGAACTCCCACACTGTGATTGTCAGCAAGGCGTGAAATAAACTCACTCCTATCCTTTGCATCACTGAATTATGACCGGGGCATTAAATGTTGCATTGTTAAACTCGAGAAGAAGAGCAAGCATGCAGTAAAAAATGAGATATATATTGCAAGTCAAAACTGTGCAGACAAGATATTCTTAACTGAATAGTGCTGGACTGTTTTGTGTCATGATTTTCTGCACCTTGCAGTAAAGATTTGCAGTAATTCATTAATTGCAAAAATTGTGTTGGAGTTTGTCAAGTTACGTGTCTTTTAGCAAGTTAGTTGATTTATTCACACATCTTTCAATTTTATAGCACCGTTAATTTAACACTCCCTCGGACAGACGCATAAAGAAAGATTTGATTTCCTTATTCGTTTTCCAAATTTGGTATGAGCCTGTTTGGGAGTGATTTTGAAAATTGATTTTTTGACCGTTAGGAGAAAAGTGGGATCTACCTGTGAGAGAAGAAGTCAAATATGACGGCTGTAATAGTAAAATAATGGTCAAAAAATCAATTTTTTTGATGAAAAAATTGGGCCCAAACAAGCTCTATGTAACTTTCCTAATTGAAAATATAAATATATTTTAGCTTTGTAATATGCCTCTATTTAATTTACATTGTTATTAACAAATATTAACTAATCTTATTTAATGTAATTAGATGTATATTAGAAAAAATATAAAAAAGATTATAGTTTAATATATATTAATTGCATTTCTCAATCTATGTGAAAATGGAAACAAACATATCTTTATGGGATTAAGTTAGTAAAAAGTTTTCAATTCGGTATTCTTATTAAAAAGAAGCATGACAAGCAAGCGTAACTATGTTAAATATGTAAAAACAAAAAGAAAAAAATTATATTATTTATTGTATTAATTTTAAATTAAATACATTTTAAAAATTATTTTATGCAGTATAATTTATTGGATTAGAGGAGACAAGTTGGCGAAGAAGACATCGGAGACACCTGCATTTGAAGAACCCCAAAGGTCAAATCAGTTTACCCATTCCCAGACCATACAGAAAAACATCTTGGTTGTTTGAATGGCTTCGCTACATGCATCTAGACGTTTACACGTTCCTCATGTGAGCGGCGGGTCCGTGCATTTATTGTGTGCGAGCCCCACCCCCATGTGAGGGGCGGGCAACCGGACGTTTACACGCCCGAATACAAATAGTATTGTCCTTGTTTGAATTATGAAACATGGGAAGCTCTTAAAAAATATAAAAGGGAAATTATTCGAAGTGTCATTTGATTTCACAGTGAAAATTCTTGGCATTCAATTACAAGCAATTATTTTAGGTCATACGATAATAATTTTCCAGATAAATTTTCACAATTTTTATTTTTTAAAAACATAGGGCACATAATGTTCAGTTCAGTGGTGTCGAAATGGGTCATATGGTCTAGGCCTAGAAAGACCCACCCAGTTAATAAATAGGGATTTAAGCTCTTGTTTGAATCCCTCTTCTTCGAAAAAAAATGCATTTGTAAGCAACTTTTTGATATCCCTTCAATTATACATTCTTCAATAAAATAATATTATAAGTAAATTCAAAATTTTTTTTTATTTTTCTACCACACATTTCACATCGATACGTTATTCAAAAATGGATTTTATGGCAAAAATGGATCTCAAACAATGGCATAAATCTGTTTGGCTGGTTCACGATCTCCCATGATAATGAATGACTCATACCGATGACTAATATGACCTAATTTAGTAAATAAAAATATAAGTTAAATTATAAACCATTATAATCAATATTCTAAAATGCACTCATATATTTTGTATAAATCCACATATATTCGATGCTTTTTCAAATGCATCGCATATGAAATATGCGCTGATAATTCGGTCAACCATTTCGTTGACTGCATATATAGGCTTAAATGTTAAAATGCGCAACTATTTAAGTTAAAAAGTTTGTTAAAATTAACCAACAAATTGCAACCGAATTTTATAACTCAAAAAGGCAAATTGAGCCCAACAAAAATCAATTAGCTCAAATCACCTAGGCCTATGAATTATATACATCAATATGTACGATTGTTACTTTAAAAAAAAAAAATCAAAACAAATTTTTCGTATAGTTGAAACTATCTACGTCTAGCTAGTGCATCTTTCTTCTTTGATCTTTCTCTAGTTTTACTAGCAAGTTGTGTTGATAATGCATAATCTTGGATGATGGTTGTGATTTTGAGGAGGTTGATAATGATATCTTATCATTTACAAGATATAATAGAAATTTTCGAGTTGAAAATAAGGGAGCCCGATGAAAATGATTTTGCATCGGATGATATGGAAGATGAGTTGGATGAAGAAGAGATTGAACTGGAATCGATAGGGAGTTATATAAGATTTAGGATTTTTTTAAAGTTTGTATTTGCGTCTAATCAAATTGTAGAAATTGATCACCAAGTAATTGTTGTACTTATGAATTTGAGCAATATGTTTTTGTTGAAAATTTAAAGAACAATAATTTTTTTTTTTAAAATTTGAAAAATATGTATAAAGTTCAAGGATGCATTATTTATTTATTAGTTTAGAATATTTAAAATAATATTAAAAATTGAAAAATGCATAATTACGCATATGCTTCACGTAGATGCTTGTAATGCTTAATGCTTGACTGCAATGCATGCATTACGCATTTTAGAACCTTGATGATAACTATATGCTACTCACTTTTCACTTATAATTTTCACACAATCTCTCACCACGTTAATTAGAATATACTTCAACTATAATGATGCATCTACTATTACTAATAAACTCTATTTGCAAATTTGTTATATTTCCGAACAGTTTAACAATGTGATCTAAGCGACACCAAATGAGAGTACTTATTTTTTTTTAATTATAATTTAATTTAAAATTATGTTAAATTTCAAGAAATGACAAAAAAGAAGAAGCCAAGTGGCTTGCACCAGCCCAACTCACAATGTTGACAGGTTTGTGAATCGATCCGATAGTTCAGGCTAGGCCCCGATCATATTTTGTGATGATCTTAAATTACGTATGGATGCAGACTTGTCAATTTCAACTAGTCATCCATTTTGACACTTCTAGTTCGGACTTTCGTCTTGAAGCGACACGGAAGTTTGAGTCTAGGCAACCACACATTTTGACACTCCCAACGGGAGGTCTAAACTAATTGGAGTTGAAATGTCTTCTATATTCGTCTCCACAAAAACCCTATATCGAAAATCTTAGGCTCTACCGAACTAGCCATCTCTTTTCCAAGATTCATACACGGGAGTGGTCATGGGCTGGGATGGTGCATGGTGGCTAGGTTAGTCGGAAAGTCTTGAAACAGGTATGGATGGTGGATTTGATGTGTCCGTGATGGCAGTGTATATTATTGAGAGAACTAAATTTGGGGAAATTATTCGTCCAAATTAGATGGGTGTTTGCTAGGGGATTAAAATTAGATTTTTTAGTAGCGGTGGGCATGGTTGGTTCGATTATGAGTATTTAGTAAGTGGAATCGTCGGGTCCAAATTTAATTATGGAATCGTTAGGATTCGGTTTTATTCGGTTCTTAGGCTTTGTACTATAGTTTTTTTTTAATATTTACAAAGCTATTAATTCAACTAATAACATATTCAATTTTAACTCTTACAAAATAACGTAGTCCAATCTTATATATCTTTTGCGTCTCTCTTTGCCGAGTTCTTCATAGACTTGATTGTTAAAATCATAAGAAGATGACGATAGCGATCTTACAACAATTAAAAGATGAGCTGTCGAGATTCAATTCGATTTCTCCAAAACGTTAGAAACGACACTATGGTAGGATAATAGATTTGGGTAAAATTTAGGTCAATTTAATTAAATTGTACTTGTACTGAAAATTAGAAATAGTAAAATGATATTTTTGAGTTTGAGGTTCTTCATTTTGAATTGCTTGCGAGCAACCTTTTGACAAACAAAGTGAAAATCCATTTAAAAATGCTTCAGGTAGGGGAATAAAGTGAAAATGCCATCCCTGTAGACCTCGCTTATCTTCCCCGGTCTTTCGACAATGGGAATAAAGTGAGAAAAACTCTTTACCCTTCTGGATATATCATCCCTCTCTCCAACATGTCTGAGTTCTTTCTTACCTCTCATCTGTAGAGAGAGCTTCGCTATGGGGCATTCTTTTTCGTTTGAGTTTAGCATCCCTTGCTTAGTTTCCATATCTCGGTCCCTTTCTGAACTCCTTTTTGTGGTAGTCTATTGCTTTCTTCTTGTGAAAACCTTGAGCAAGAGTAGAGGCCGTTTATCTCATATAATTTATTGGGTCGCATGGTACTTCTCGGCCCTGTCTCCGAGGGACAGTTGAACGAGCCACTCATGAATGTTTTCGGGTTGGACGAGCCAAGAACTCGAACATGTTTAGTCTTTTTTTGAGCAAGAATCATAGCCTTACCTTATCTTCTAACCTTATATTGGTCTTTTTTTTTTTTTTTTTTTTGAGCAAGAATCATAGCCTTACCTTATCTTCGCCATGAAAGATTAAAATAATTTGACTTATTTAAAATAAATAAATTTAAAAAAATTAGAGAGATTTGGTTCTTATTCGATTTTCTGTTCTTGATCTAGAATCGAGAATCGAACTGAACCCGTCGATT